GGGAGGTTTCAGTTGTCCCTGAGGAACAATTTCTTGCCCTGGAGGGTTGCCCAGGGCTGTGCCAGGCTGCCCAGGGCAGTGGTGGAGTCCCCACCCCTGGAGGGGTTCCCAAGCTGTGGAGATGTGGGGTGAGGGACACGGGGCAGTGGGGACCTGGCAGTGCTGGGGGAAGGTTGGACTCAATGATCTTAAAGGTCTCTTCCAACCCAAACAATCCCATGATGTTGTGCCCACTCACCTCACTGCCCCCTTACCCCACTGCACTCACATTGTACTGGTCGTCATGAGACTCCACAACCCACCCAGGTCCTTTTCCTCACTACAGCCTCCTGCCCCTTGTTTTCTGTCCTTGACTGCAGGGTGAGACATCCATCTGCTCCAAAGGCACAGCAGCCAGGAGCCACACTGCTTTCATTTAACAACTACCTGATGCTGCACAGCCAGCAAGGGACCAGATGCTCATGGACCCACCACGAGCATCACACCCCAGCAGAACACACCCAGGAATCACAACCTGGGCTTCTTCCTACATAGCAGGACACAGAAACTTTTGGTGTCACCTTTTTGAGCCCAGCTGCATATCCCAACAGTGGGAAACGTTCTGAAACATCCCAGGGCCACACTCTCTTCACCTGAAGAAGTGTCTGTGCTGTCCATGCGTGGTGTGGTGCAGAAGCACTGGCACCCCTGGCACCACGAGCACCATCAGCCAGTGAATCACCCACTGCCCTTTATTCCTTCATGCCCAACTTGGCCTCATTCTTTTTTTTACGTAACATCTACTAAACACGGAGCTGTTTGTTTCACAATAACATTTGTCAGTTCACAGCACAACCAAACCTCTGCATTTCAATTTGCTTTTGCTTCAAATCCCCTTAAAGGAGTTCTTTCAGTGCGTTGGAGTTGAACGTTTCAGTGGTTGAGAAGGAAGTTTTTACAAGTTAGCAGCAGCCAGCAGCTCTGGATTCCTGTGCTGCAGCCACAGCCCCCAGCACCATCTGTCCTCTGGGGAACTCAGCACAGTGACCTGAACACCCCACATACACTGCTGAGCAGACATTCAGAAAATAGTAATAAAATTCAGACCGATTATTCGAGTCACAGCTAAAAATATCCTCCCCAAACAATGGGAAAGATAGTAAATCTGAAATTAGACATTTACACTGAAAAAGGAATGAAATGAGAGAAATGGAAAATGCTCCCTTTAAAATAGCAATTCAGGATCCATTTAGCTAAAACCAATATTCCAGTGACCCAACACAAACAGCTCCATTATGCACCAGCCCCCATCTGCTTTGGCCTTTTTTGTTTGGCTGGTTGTTTTGGGTGGGTTTTGTTAGTTTGTTTGTTTGGGTTTTTTTTAAGTGTTACCATGATCCTCTCCAAAATCAAATTTGAACTGTGATTTTATGGAAGGATGAGCCAGTGAAGAAATAGATGTTAAAAGCAGCATGAATGCTCCCTCGTGAACTGTGGGAAGTGCTGGGATGCAGCACACACAGACTGGACAAAGACTGATGCACAATGTACCACGAGTCCAATGCTGCACATACCTAAAAAAAGCTCTGTTTTAAAGAGCCTTTAAAATATTAAAATATCAACAGGTTTTAAGGTATTTATATATAGGTATAATCACAGTCTTGACACACCTGAATATTTTTCTGGAGCTGAAATTCTGAGAAAGTAAAGAGTCATTAAATCAGTCACTGGAGGATGACACAAGAGCTGAGGAGCAGCAGAGCTGCTGGTTCTGGGCAGCACAGTTCAGCCATCCCCACCCTCTGTCCCCACTGGAGTGCTTTGGGAGAGCCAGGCCCGTGTCTCTCCCCCCACAGGGGGCTCAGGAGCCCAACCCTGCTCCTGCTCCCCCTGCTCCTGCTCCCCCTGCTCCTGCTCCCCCTGCTCCTGCTCCCTGGGGCAGCTTGTCCTGGAGCCAGCCCCTCATGCTCGGGAGGAGGCGGGGGGGGCGCGGGGGGAGCAGGGGCAGCAGGTGCTGGGGGGCTCCCAGGGGGCTCCCCTGGGCTGCCCCAGTCGCTGTGGGGGCACTGCCCACACCAAAGCAGACCCACCAGCAGGCACGGGGAAGATCCCAGCGAACGGTTCTCCCGGCTGGAGCTGCTGGGGGTGAACCACCTCCAGCAGCACCCTGGGGACTAAGCTCCCAGCACCCCAGTTGGATCAGGCCATAACAGAATCAATTGGCTTTTACTGACAATTTTCTGGTCATTCTGCAATTTTCAGATAATTAACCTGTGCAATCCTGAGGGAAAGGTTTGTACCCTGAGAGCAGCAACCGCCGTGATGAAGTTGAGGAACGTCCAGTTACAAATCATCCCAGTTTCACCCCAAGTCCTGGGCAGAGCCACGAGCTCCAGAAACACTTTCACCCCCAAGCAATGTTAAATGACTCCCCCCTCAGCTTGTTCTCCAAAACTGGCAGTAAAGGTCTCATCATGGACCAAACACCCTGATACACATGCAACCACAGCGGAACTACGCCTCAGTGGAGCTTCAAATCCCTGCCACCAGCACTGAGAGGTCAGAGGTCCCTGCCCATGGCAGGGGGGTTGGAACAAGATGATCTTTAAGGTCCCCTCCAGCCCATCCTGTGATTTCATGATTGGACAGGTTTGCAATTAGAATTTAGTTTAAAATTCTGTTGATTATGCCCAAATTACATTTGTTGGTGCCCTCAGTCACACTGAGCCACAGGAGCTGACTCAAGTCAGCAGGTTTGGCTCATGGGGTCTGCAAACCCTTGACAGCAGTGAAGCTCCAGTTTCAGAGTTTCACCCTATTTATTACTTTAGTGTCAAGTGATGCCTGAACACACACCCCAGCTGGAAATTCAGGGACCTCCACCACAACAGAGACACACAGAACAGGCACACTCTGCAACCCACACAGCTTGCTGCTGGACAGATTGTTTTGGACACATCTCCATCTGCTACCTTAGTTCCCCAAAGCCCAAGAAAAGGGCTGTTTTCAGTGGGGGAAGCCCTGCTGCATGGATTTGCTCCCAGAAGGGCATGTCACTAATATCTACTGATGGTTGGGCTTGGAGCTGCAAAGATTATATTTGTTAGCCCATATTAGAAGGAAGCAGCCTGTGAAGTGCTGGGTTCTCCCCAGCCCCTGCAGCACTAAACCAGAAAATGAGTGTTAACTAACACCTCTCTAAAACAGACATTTCTACTCAGAAGTGACTTGAGAGCCAGGAATAGTGTTTTTTATGGCCAGGAACCACTTAACTCCATTCCAGCCTGGTGTTTCTTGAAAAGACAGACAAGGAGAGAAGCTCTGCTGCTGCTGTGCAGAAACTGCCCACAGAGGGTTCCTGTTTACCTGGTGGCTGAACGAAGAAAGAAGTGTCTGGTCCCTTCACCTCAGGCTGAGCTCCCATCCAGTGTTCTTCAGGCACTGTGGAAAACAACCACATTCAGTCCTGCCATGGGCACTGACACTGCTTTAGTTTTCCAGCTGAAGGTGTTGACTCTGTTGTTTTGGGAGTTCATGCTCAGGTAACTTCTCAGTTGCCTTCAAGGACAATACCAGAAGATCGTGTTCCTCTGTGACTGCTGTTAGTGGAAGCTGGCACCAGAGAAGAGCCATAACCAGCACTGAGCCAGGACCCAACAGAGCAGGTTCTCTCCTCGACTCTTCTTGGGCAGTTGGCTCTAGGTGGCCCTGCCTGAGCAGAGGGGTTGGTCTACAGAGCTCTCCTTCCAACCTCAACCACTCTGTGATCTCCCAACATCTTCAGAACACTCACACTGAGCCAACAGGATACTTCTAATCCTGACTGATTTTATGTAGCAACTGCCCCCCAAGATTCCTCTTGCCCACTGCATGCCCTCAGCCAGCCAGCCACAGCAGAACAGCCCTTTCTTACCTGCTCTGTCTTGCAGGTATTCTGCACTTGAATCCAGGCCCATGAAGGCTGATGGGTCTAGAGCCTCTGCAGGAGAATACAGGGGTCCCAAGAAAGGTTGTTCAGGTATCACCATAGATCCATGTGGTGCTATGAAATAAAAGGGCACTGGTTAATCACCATGCTAGCCCTAATGACTCCCCTCCAAAATTAAAGTCCATACAGCACTTGGAACATTTCTCAGAAGTACCTGAGATAGTGTTTGTGAGCAGCTCAATTAGCTCACCTCTACACTCTGCATTGTAAATTATGCATGCATATATAATTTTTAACAAGGTCTAAGTCAGTGAGCACAGGTAGAACTATTCCCCTTTTGCTTTCTGCCTCTCTTAATAACCACTTAAACTCCCGTAGTTCAAAGACTGGAGGCCACTCTCTGGAAAAAGTTCAAGCAGATTTGGTTTCTGATGATGAAGAGAAGAGCCACTGGTAACTCCTGCTTCAACTCTTCCCAATGGTCTGTCTCCTAAAGAGACTTCAAAAACCCCTCCTGGGAGCAGCCCGTGGAGTGGCTGTAGGCACAAAACCCCCAGAAGTGCTTAAGCCTGTGAATCTAGACACACAGTAATTCTCAGTACCTGGAAGTCAACAGAGAAAACACCAAGCCCTGACCACCAGGGAGAAATGCTGAGGAGGAACTCACCATGGATGTCTCTGGAGGAATCAGTGTGGTCTGTGAAGAGCGGCACGTTCTTCATGTCAGCAGGAAAGGGTAAGTCAGGCAGGGTCTCCCCCCTGTGCATGCTGAAGGGGTCTGCCAGGAGACAAAAACAAGGCCAGTGTCACCACACAGGGGGGAGACATGGGGCAGAGCCAGATTATTCAATAAACAAGATGAAGATGGACCTGACACCACCACTGGACTTCCAAGGGAAAGCTGCTTTCAGGATTCCTTACTGGGGGCAAACACCATAATTGAAATTTATGCCCAACAGCAAAACATGTTTGCTGAGACTGCCCCTGGGGCAAGCTGGCTGAAGCCCAGGTTCCAGCTGCTGTGAGGGGACCCTGTCTCCTCCTCTTGGGGAGGAACCATCTCCTTCTGACCTGACAGACACACGCAGGCAGGAACAAGGGCAGAGCTCCTGACCAGTTCACCTGACAGCAGACCAAGGAAAGTTCAGTGCAAGCCCCAAGAGGAGTACTCCAGTATAAACTGACTGGTGGGCCAGTACTTTAACCAAGTTATAAGTCAGAGAGGAAAATAACCCACTGCCCAGTGCCCCAGGCACTTCAGCCCTCCCTCCAGACCAGATGCACTGGTGGGGCTCTCAGGATCTTGCTGTCAGCTCTGCTTGGCTCACGTGCATTATCTTTGCTCTCATTTGGCCTGTGTTCTGAGTGGATGTATCAATGTCACCTGCAGAAGATGGGACTCCAGCAGCTGAGCATTCAGCAAGAGAAAATTCCTTTTCTGCAAGTTTTATTTTTTGTGTGGGCACATCTCCTTACCCCTCAGGTAACCAGCAGGGGCATTCACACCAGACAGGACAGAGGGAACCACCACACTGGGTTTTGTCTGAAACACCATGGGTCAGACACTCCTGTGAGCCTCACTGAGAGCATAAACCAAAGAAATGGTGAATGTTCTGTGAGACTCACAGTACTATCAGAAGGAGCATGGCCAGCAGAGCAGGGCAGGGATCATCCCCCTGCACTGGTCACTGGGGAGGCCACACCTTGAATCCTGGGTCAAATTTTGGGCCCCTTACTCCCAGAAGGACCTTGAGGGGCTGGAGCGTGGCCAGAGAAGGGCAACGGAGCTGGGGAAGGGTCTAGAGCCCAAGTGTGGGGAGGAGCAGCTGAGGGAGCTGGGGGTGCTGAGCCTGGAGCAAAGGAGGCTCAGGGGAGACCTTCTGGCTCTGCACAGCTCCTGACAGGAGCCTGGAGCCAGGGGGGGGTCGGGCTCTGCTCCCAAGGGACAGGACAAGAGGAAACAGCCTCAAGTTGCCCCAGGGGAGGTTTCTGTTGCCCCTGAGGAACAATTTCTTGCCCTGGAGGGTTGCCCAGGCCTGTGCCAGGCTGCCCAGGGCAGTGGTGGAGTCCCCACCCCTGGAGGGGTTTCCAAGCTGTGGAGATGTGGGGTGAGGGACACGGGGCAGTGGGGACCTGGCAGGGCTGGGGGATGATTTGGCTCCAGGAGCTCAAAGATCTTTTCCAACCAGAACGATTCTTTGGTAGTACAGTCAAGGCCAAGACATTGCCAGAGGAAGGAAACGTGGCAATCCTCCCTCAAACAAGTTACTCTGCAGTGGCTGTGACTCAGGTGGCCTCTCACAGATCAGTGACACCTCACAGAAACTTCTGATGACCATGTCACACGTGGCATTGCCCAGGAGCTGCAGAACTCTCCAGCTCTGCACAGAATTCTTCACAGAATTTCTTAGTAAAGATGAAATTCAGATAGCAAGAAAATAATTCAGTAACCAGGTCTGCAGTGCTCAAAAATAGATATAAATAAGAAAAGTTCCATCCTCTTTCAGCCAGTATCTTCCCAGGTTCATTGCCTGTTCAAACCTGGGCAGCACACACGTTTCTCATCCCTCCAAGAGCTGGCAAGTGATTTCCCACAGGCCTCCTCAGAGCTGAGGGAGACTGGGTGTGAGCTGGCGGGTGAAAGGGTGTCCTGCAGGGGCAGCTTACACAAGGTTCATCTAATTTTCAGGAGTCAGCAGCTCGAGAGGCTGCCTCTGGAGCAGCCCGGCCTGCATTGCAGAGGTGGCTACGTGACAGACGGGTCCCTGTGCCCAGCACACCGGGGCACACCAGGGCACACCGGGGCACACTGGGGCACACCGGGGCACACCAGCCAGCAGCTGCCAGTGGCTCTGGGGAGCAGTGCCCCCACAGCACTGGGGCTCCCCAACCACTCCAGAGGGGACCCATCCCAACCTGCCACGGCCCCGTGAGCCCAGCTCAGCCACGCCGGGCTAGCAGCCCCCTGCTGAGCCAGCCAGCCTGGGCTCTAGGGCAGGACAGGGCTTGGAAAGAGCAACACCTCCTGCAGGGCCCAGCAGAAGGCAGGAGGACAGAGCCCCCTGAGGGCCAGGGCTCTGCCCCAGCACTCCCCTGTGGAATCACCGACCTCGCGCGGCCGTAGCCGCCACCTCCAGGGGCTGGAACATGAGCTGGGGCTCCAGGCACAGCTCCCTGTCATCCACTGGCCAGGACTCATTGCGGTCCAGGAAAGAGCAACACCTCCTGCAGGGCCCAGCAGAAGGCAGGAGGACAGAGCCCCCTGAGGGCCAGGGCTCTGCCCCAGCACTCCCCTGTGGAATCACCGACCTCGCGCGGCCGTAGCCGCCACCTCCAGGGGCTGGAACATGAGCTGGGGCTCCAGGCACAGCTCCCTGTCATCCACTGGCCAGGACTCATTGCGGTCCAGGAACTCCTTGTAAGACAGCTTCTCATCCATGAGGTCTCCTGGGAATACTGAAACAAAAGAAAATGGCCCAGTCAGAAGTGAAGGACTGAGCTGAAGTATCTGGAGTGGATTACTGCACGGTGTGACACCAGAGGCCAAGCGATGGCATGAAGTGCCAGCCAGCCCCCAGAGCAGGAGGACTCATTTTCTGCTGCTTTAATCCAGCTCCTCAAATGTAACAAACAGAATAATGTGAGTTTCTCCATCCTGATACACATGTAAGACTGAGGACAGACTCACATGTCAGTGCTGCCCCTTTTTCAAACGCTGGACAGCTCACACTCACTCCTCACACTCATCTTTAGGGAGATTTTTCATTAATGTATGAGCTGGAACAACACTGAACTAAAGCTTTAGAGTCTGTCAGTACAGAAATGCTGAACACAACCTGCTCCTCAGGCACCCCAGGGAGCAGGGAAACCAAAGCCCTCCCTCTCCTGCCCAGGCATCGACTCACACGCCCCAGATCTGCCCACACTCACCAGTGTCAGCACCACCAACACCCTGCACCCCCAGCAGGGGCTTGCTCTCCATCCTCCTAGGAAGAGCAGCTCCAAATCATTTCAGTGAATAACTTTTCCCCAAATACCTTGAAGGACTTTATTTGTCTATCTTTGTATTTCACACCTAAGCCTAATCTTCCCCCCGTTTACAATAAAGAGAGCTCTCAGAACACACCAACACACTGAGGCCTGAGGAGTTATGTGTGACCAAGGAAAATATCCATCACTCTTTCTGTGTTAAAAGCAACTGTGCTGAGACCAACAGCCTTCAGCAATCTGAGATGTTAGACAGTCAAGGATTTTACCCCTGAAGCCTTGGCAGGCACCCTTCACAGCCAACAAACACCCCACAGGAAAAAGCATGGAATTAAAGAATTTAGGCTACATAAAACTATTTCAATAAGGTTTGTCACAAGAAATATTGAAAATACACAGATCAGGCTTTTCCTGATGTCCTCCCAAGCAGCTGGAAGCTCTTTTGAGAACCAAAGCAAGAGAAGTCAGCTCTGAACTGAGAGACCCTCCAGCAGCAGCACTAAGGCACACGGGGGGCTCTCCTCTTCCTCACCTCGCATGCTTGGAGTCTGCTGTAAAAACACCTCCACTTTGTTCCAGCCAGTTCCCTTCCCCCAGTGTGGCACCCTGGGATGAAGTGGTGCCTGAGCAGGAGCCTGCAGAGCCCTTGCCACGCCAGGCAGAGGCACAGAACACTGACAACAGCCCCAGCTCCACCAGCAGCTTCGGGACCACGCGGATCCCGTCTGTCCTGGCAGGCTGCACCCCTGAGAGTGCTGCAGGGAGCAAGGTCCTCTCCCTCATGCTGGGGAAAGCTTTGGATAAGAAGGGAACCACACATGCACCTCCACTGACACTGTTTTTGACATGTCAGCTTCAAATCCCTTAGCACAGCAGCACAAGCAGCAGCAGCAGGCAGCAGTGGGAGGATGGGGGAAGCAGCAAGGCACAAATGAAGCCCTTGTGAAGAGCAGCCAGAGCCACACCCAGGGCAGGTGAGAGCTGGCTCCAAGGGAGCCACTGCTTGTGGGCTTGGGCTGACACTCCAGAGCAGCACAGGGAGATCCTGAACTTCAGCTGGGCCACGACTGGCTGTGCTGCTGCAGCTCCCCAGAGCCTGGGCTGCTCCTGGGAGAAGCCCAGTGGGTTCTGCTTTCAAAGGCACTTCCAGAGCCTGCAGCTGAAGGGAAGAAACAAACCCAGAAAACCTGAAGCTTTCAGCTATGACCAACAGAGTGGAAACGCCCAAGACACATTCCCAAACTCACAACCTTTCAGATTAATTTCCATTTTAAGGAGCTCTGAATTTGTTAACTCTTCTATAGATGACATTAACCTTTCAAACTGATTCCCAGTTTCTTCTTGGAAGAAACATAAAAATTTACACAAAAACATGTACACCTTCTCCCAGCCCCTAAAGCAACACTCCAAACTCTCCTGCCAATACAAAGAACCACAGAATCATTAAATTTGTCAACATCTCCAAGATCATCACATCCAACCATCAACCCAACACTCCCATGGCCACTAAACCATGGCCCCAAGAGCCACATCAACAAGTTTTCGGCTGGGGACTCCAGCACCTCCCTGGGCAGCCTGGGCCAATGTCTCACCACTCTGCCAGGAGAGAAATTCTGCCTCATGTCCAATCAAACCTCCCCTGGGGCAGCTCCAGCCCATTGCCTCTGGTCCTATTGCTGGTTCCTTGGGAGAAGAGACCAACCCCACCTCACTCCAACCTCCTGTCAGGGAGCTGTGGATAGCCAGAAGGTCTCCCCTGAGCCTCCTCTTCTCCAGGCTCAACAACCCCAGGTCCCTCACAAGCCATGTTCCCCAGAGCCCTCACCAGCTTTGTTGCCCTTCCCTGGACCCACTCCAGCCTCCCAAGGTCTTTTCTGCCAGGCCCTTCCCAACCACTCTGCCCCAGCCTGGAGTGTTGCAGGGGGTTGTTTTTTCCCCACTGAAATTCAAAGCACGGGGCCACTGCCTGCCAGCTGGGTGCTGACACACCACAAGGTGGGCACTAGCTGTGGGAAGCCACGTGATGCTCTAGCAGAAGTTCACAGATTTAGAAGTGCTCCTGTCCACATTCTGATCCAACTCAACACAAATAAAACACGTTTCCTTTTTACCTTCACGTGCACTCGGAGGGCCTGAGAATGAGAATTCCAAGTGTAATTCTAGTAAACAAGAAAGAAACACTGAGGAGCTGCTGTGGAATAAATTCAAGCTCTGACCATGTGGAGCTATCCCTCCCTCTCGTGCTGCAGCCCTGCAGATGCTGCAGGCACCCTGAAGCAGGGCTGGCTTGGCAAGAGGGTGCTGCTCTCCTGCCAGTGGCTTTCAGCCATCACTCTGCTGAACGACTGCATTTGACATGGTTGACCTCAGCAGGGAGGACACAGAACCCCCCAGGCCCAGCCCCACGGCAGCTCTGCACGGGACAGGGTACAGCTGTGGGCAAGGAGGCCGTGGGACCAGTGGCCCAGGCAGGAATGACCCCCTGGGGTTCAGCACCACAGCTACCGAGGCAAAGCTGCCTGCTCATGGACCTGGGGCAGCTCCAGCTGGACCATTCTTATTGAGACAGACAATGATCGTTTCAATTTGCAAAGTACTTTGAAGATAAAGTGCCCCTACAGGTGTCAAGAGACATTATTAGTTATGATCATTTGTGGTGCAGAGCAGCAAGGGGCTTAATTACAAATTATTGCCAATTCCTCTGGACAGGGGTCTGTCACTTGTTTGCCTATAAAATTCCATTTGAAGCATGAAAAACCAGGAGACTGTAAATGTCCTTGTCAGTGTCAGGAAGAGGCCTGGGAGCAGTTAAGAAAATTTGACATGAATTTTCTCAAAAATAACTTCAACAGATTTTTGGACTGGACTCATGCCTAGTCTGATCAACTGATCAACTAATCACACTGATTAAACTCCAGACACTGAACTAAACCTGTTAGCACTAGACCACAAATAAGTACTTGCATATTGCTGTTATTAATAGATCTCACAGGTCAAGAACCTAAAATTAGGGTCACAACAGGTAAACCAGAAGTAAAACCTCCACTTTTGATTTTAATTAGTAGACAGGTCACATTCACACCTTTAAATAAAGAAGAGGGGACCCTCCCTGAGCCACCCACCTGGCTGGAAAAGGACTGGGCAGACAAAAAGATCCATAAAGGGCAACGTTTATGTGCAACCTCAGATGAAATCAAACTCCTGTGGCAGTTGGGCAAAACTCTACTGGTATTTGCAAACCTATAGTTCTAGCAACAGGCTCCAAAGGCAGATGAGAGAGGATTCAAAAACACACGGGCTGCATGTGATCTACAAATAACAGACACAAGAGCAAACAAAGAGGAGCCAAACTCTTACAGCCACCAAACCTGAAAATGCCTGTCCACAGGAAGCAGCAGCAGATACTGTGCTCAACACAACATGTAAACTGGACAGATCCCACAGACCTGGAAAGTTGTTTCAGCAAGAGTTAAAGCTGGCTGAGAGCTGAAAATCCTGTTACACTGTTGATAATATAAACCAACCTGGGATTACAGCTCACAAAATCTTGCTTAAAGGGAAAAAAAAAATATCATGAACAACATACTTACAAAGCAAACTTGCTTCTGAAAGAAAAAATATGGATCCCATGCAAGGAGCACCTTCCCTGAGCTGATGCCACGGCAGGCTGCGGGGTGAGCCCGAGCAGGCAGCAGGGCTGCTGACAGCCAGCTGGGTGGCTCTGTCTCTGCTCTGCAGATCAGCACGGCCACGCAGCCCATTCAGAGGCTAATCCATAGGAAAGAGCCCTTCTGGCAACCTAGGACACGGACCCTCCCACCAGGCAGCCTGCTGTGCTCAGACCTCCAGGAGACTACAGAAAACCTGGAGCCGAAGTGAAGGACACTGCAGGGTGAACGGCCAGCAAGGAGCACCCCAGGAGAGGATTACCATGATAAAGCCTTTTCCCTGCAGGAGATGCTAATCTTGATAGGTCACTGACCAGATCTCTAGCTAGAGGTTAAGTATCTTCAAAATAAACGAGTCTGCAGCCAGGAGATGTCCCTGCCAGCCCCAAGCCAAGCACACAGAGAACGAGAAGCTTAAGAGCTCTGTTCCTACAGCCAATCTTAAAGCTCAGTTTGCCCAGCCCAGGGCTCTGGGGCAGGGTCCTGCACAGACACCAGGTTTGCCTCGCTGAAGCCACCACCTGAGCCTGGCAGGACAAGCTGTGCCCCTCCAGAAACCCTCTGCCAGCTGAAGGGCAGGGCAAGCCCCCAGCACCCCGCGGGCACGGCGCCCAGCTCCTGCCAAGGTGCTGTAAGAAGCACTGTCAGAAGTCAGGGCTTTGGTAACGTGGCAATTTTTATAGTCCACACGAGGTTTTGAGCTGGTTTGGTGGCACCTGGTTCCTCCACGAGGGGCAGCAACTCTTGATGGAGAAGAACTTTTCCAGACCAGAGCTATGAAGCTGGTCACCTTCTGCCCAG